CTCGGACGAGCTGGTCAATTGCTTTCACTCTGTGTTTCCCGCCAAGGTTGATGAATTTGCAGGGGTAAGAAGCTGTCAGAAACCGTGTCTTCAACAGTATTTTCATCTGAATAGTTTAAATGTATTAAATGGCTGTCAAGGCTTTCTGAGAAGATCTCAACTCTGGTTTCAGCTAGGCCCTAGGCTGTTCGGCTGTTCAATATCCAGCTCGGTCTTGGTCCTAGGTTTTGCCTCTGCCTGCTTTGGAGGTCGCAACAAAACCTCAAATTTGCTGAAAGAGCCATGCTGTGCTCCCAACAGCCAGCGTTTCGGCACGATGTAGCGGCATAGATCAAAGATGTTGTTGTAAGAATGCTGGTTCTCAAGAAATGTCACCAAACCTCTCCATAGGTCACGACAATTGAAAGTAATCCTCAGCGCAGTATACTTCTGCCTGCGTGTGCTTGACACATTTGCATGCAAATGTTGACTGTTCGAGCTTTTCAGCTAGTGCGGCAGCTGGTTTGCTGCAGTTATGTGAGTGTGCACATGAGAAGTGACAGAGGGCGGTCTTCTAAAAGGCGAGCTGGTGAGGAGATCACCAGATGAGCTGGTGCCGGTTGCATAATTCTAATGCCACCATGGATCCCGCTTCACGACGAACACTTAAGTGGACAACAGGCACTCCAGGATTGATCATCCTTTATTTATTGCAAATTGCCGTCAATGCTTTCTGAAAAGATCTCAACTCTGGTTTCAGCTAGGCTGTTCAATATCCAGGTCGGTCTCGGTCCTAGGTTTTGCCGCCGCTTGCTTTGGAGGTCCCAAGAAAATCTCAAATTTGCTGAAAGGGCCACGCTGTGCTCCCAGCAGCATTTTGGCACGATGTAGCCGTATAAAGGTCAAAGATGCTTTTGTAAAACAGTTGGCTGCCAAGAACTGCCACCAAACCTCTGCATAAGACAAGACAATTGAAAGCAATCCTCAGCACAGTCTACTTCTGCCTGCGTGGTTTTGACACATTTGCATGCAAATGTTGACTGTTCGAGTTTTTCAGTCAGCACGGCAGCTGGTTTGCCGCAGTTATGTGAGTGTGAACGTGAACGGTGACAGGGCGGTCTTTTTAAGGGCGAGCTGGTGATGAGATGACCAGATGAGCTAGTGACTGCCGGTTGGATAATTCTAATGCCACCATGGATCCCGTTTCATGACGAACACTTACTGTAAGTGGACAACAGGCACGACAATTGAAAGCAATTCTCAGTACAGTCTACTTCTGCCTGCGCGTGTTTGACACATTTGCATGTAAATGTTGACCGTCGAGCTTTTCAGCCAGCGTGGTTTGCCGCAGTTATGTGAGTGTGCACGTGAGATGTGACAGAGGGCGGTTTTCTTAAGGGCGAGCTGGTGATGAGATGACCAGATGAGCCAGCGCCGGACTAGTGGCGTCTCCTAACCAAGCACCATGCTTCATACCCAACAAATATGTGGCGTCTCCTTAAAAGCGACTTGAAGAGGAGAACCAAGTAGTCTAAGAGTCTACAAGTGTTGAGTCTGCAAGTGGCAAAGCCAAAGGATGAGAAGCTTGGAGGCCTTTGGATGCTCTTAAGGAAAGGAAGGCAACTTCTAGCTACTCCAGCCGCCCTTCTTTCGCCTCATCCGCCACGTCGTCCTGCGCCCGGTCCTCCTCCAGCGACGGAGCAAAGCCTCCGATCGGTCAGCGACCACGGACCAGTCGCAGGGGGCGCGATCAGTCCGACAGCTTGGTCGACCAAGCAACCGGCTCGTTCCTCCCTTCACCTCTCGGAGGAATCTCAAGAAATGGCCATGGAGAAAGACATGTATATGTGCGGGTTTCGTGGATCCTTATTTTGAGCCACATCTAAATGAACATTAAAGGAGGGGATAGGCCAGGGATTCCGATGTCACGCAGTTTTTTTTCAGGTCAAAAGCTCATGACAGGGCCAAAGAGATATATATCCTAGCGACACTGTCATCCAAAGCCCAGAATTTCATGAAATGAGACTTCAGTCCGATCACTCGGCATATTGACTTTGAGAGAATGAGAGCCAGTGACTTACCGGGCGTCACTTGTTGGCGCACGGAACGAACTTTGTGGCAGAGCCAAGAAGGTTTGACATGTTCAGAGTGCAAGCGCAAAGGTGGGCAAATGGGAGGCTCGGAGGCCTCTAGATGTTTGTCGGTGAAGTAAAACGATAGGAGTTAAAAGGAAAGCAACGTGCAGCTACTACCCTAGCTACCCTAGCTTTGAGCGCTGGGCTCCCTGGGCTACTATGCTCTTCTCAATATGGGCTTCTCGTTGTCAGCTGCATCAACTCAGGCAGAAACCATGGACACTTCCAAGCTGCGACACATTCAAACCGAAACCCGTTGCAACCAAACACATTTGAAAGATGTTTCAGCAATCTAGTGCCCAAGCGACAAAGGGAATGGTGTTGGTGGAACTGTTTCAGGTCATGGCACAATTTTTGGCCACATGCTTGAAAAGGGCCACGGTACTGGACCTGTTACACTGTTACCAGCCATCTTCTAGTCGTTGTTGTGGAGATCCAATTTGGCTCAACCAATTACAGTACTTCTAAGGAGTATCAACATGAGAAAGTGACGGAATTGGGACGAGCGATGCTTCTCTTTCAACCTTCCAATTGCCCACGCATCGTACAGACACTTGAAATGCTTGGTATATTATGTTTCATTTTGGTATGGATGGAAGCTGTCTTCCTGGATGCGGGTCTAGGAAATTAGAATGCCACAATGCCGCAATGCATCAGTATCGGATGAATCAGGGTTCCCTTTTTGGAGGGAACTTCTTAGCTTCTTGACAAGAGTCTGAGCGAGGCTCGTTCTGTGCCAAGGATTTGCGAGGTGTCTAGAAGTTGTTCTAGAGCTGGCAAGTGCTCTCCCAAAAGTCACTCTGCTCCAGGCAACGCCATCCAAGTTTTGCATGCTTACATTTTGGGACCTTTCCCAAATAGGACATCCACAACTTCTTGGGCTGACCTTGCTCTTGGACTTATCTTGCTCTTCCTTCAAGCATGATACAAGTTGGAACAATCATCGCTGCTGACATGCAGTTCCTGCATGAAAAGGTGCACGATGCCAAGTTCGTAACCCTTCACACTTGAAGAAGGTGGTTCCTAGCACTCCTCGTTTCGCCCAAACGATGCACTGCCTATTGGAATGCAATGCAGCAAACCCTACTTCATGTTGTGTTGTGACATGTGGGCGGAATCAGGGTCACTTGCAAGCAACTGCAAGCAGACCACGGAGGCAACCTTGCTTGCAAGCTATTCTGGAAACTCAAAGGCAACAGCTGCAGGACGATTGCAGATCATTCTGCAATGTTTCGGTAAATGCCTGAAGCAGGCCTAGTCTGCCTTACTCAAGAAGGACTTTTACGGAGCAGTCTTTTGACTTTGGCTTTGAGCACTAGGCATGGCACATACCATTTCCTTTTTCCGATGTCTTCGGAACACCTCAGTTCTGTTGCAGAACAACGCTTACTGCCATTCCGATGTCTTCGGCCACAAGGTCTCTCGTATGGTATTGATCGAGTCA